CCCTGGCGGGGGAAACCCGGCCCCCCACGGCCGGGGCCCCCAAGGCCCCCCCGCCCCGCCACCGCCCCCCGTCCTTGGGTCCCGGGCAAATGGCCTTTCCTTCCCCGGGGGCACTTTGTGCCTGACTTTGGCCCCGGAAATTTTAAAGACCCCCCTAGTTTTGGTCCCCATTCCCGGGCCGGACCGGGTCCCTTTGGGGTTTTTACCCGGCTGCCCCCTTCGGCATCTTTGCCCCGTTCGGGGGGCCCCCATGGGCCAGGGGGGGGGATGGGAGGTTTCCTGGTGACCCCTCGTCCTTTAAAACCCCCGGAATCAAAAAAAACCAGTGCCCAGGCCCCTTTAGCTCCTTCTTGAACTGGGCCCGGGGGGAAAACCAAAAAACGCACCTCTTTAACGTGTACCCTAGCCAACCCAGTAAGTGTCTGACAGCTGGGCCCGCCGCCGCCCGGCCGCACCCGCGTCCCCTGGGCTCTTCCCCCCCCCCCCCCCATCAGGCTGGTAGATGGGGAGGTCTTGTGCGTTCCGAGGTTGTGTGCGTCTCTTGAGTGTCCGAGCCATCATCAGTATCTTCCTGACGAGGTTCAGTTAATTAGTAAGCGTTTACAGAAATATCAAGGGCCATAGGAATTGCAGGCAGGCATAAAAAAAGACCATTTTCCTTGGACTAAAAGTTATCAACCTAATATGGGATGACAGATGCATTTCTAAAAAAAAGAAGCACTACAATTCATGTTAAAGCTGCTATTGCTTATTAGACTAAAATTCCTCTTTACTTTCAACACTGGCCCAGGAAGTTGCTCACCATGTTGAAGAGCAAATGTTTCTTTTCTTGGAAATAAGTATGTACCCCTGTAAAAGTTACATGTTCAAGACTAGTATATATCTCCTAAGAAGCAAAGAAGTATGAGTTTTAGACTCTCATTCCTCTGCCTCCCTCTCCCTCATTTTTCTGCTGTACCAGGACACAGACATTTCACTGATTTGGAAGAGAACAATCCTTCCACCCCCTCCACCATTTGGTGCATTTTTTTATTCCCTTCATATGGCCACTTGTAAATCAGTGTGGCAGTGTTTTCCATTCTGAATCATATCTGGATATTGCAAAGATAATAAATAAAATACAGAGTACAGCTCCATCTGTCCCCAAAGGTAGCTTTGAAAGGACATAGTTGGTAATTAAGTCTTGATAAGTAAAGAAGGCATGTGATCCACATCCAGATGTTGATGAATTAGGACTGTTTTGGTGTTACTGTATTAAGTGTAGTTTTAGATTTCTGAAATAATTACAGAAATCCTGCGGTTATTGCAAGAATAGGAGGTTTAGAGAAACATTTCTCAGTTGGCATTAGTTGTGTTTGTCAGCACCTTGTGATACAAATATTTTTAGTACAGGAAATAAAAACCCAGAGGTATTTAAGGACTTGGAACAAACTAGCTGGAACTCTCATTTATTCAAATCTTTTGTTTTAAAGTTAAAGTTTACACAAGGGGTAACAATTTGTTTTAAAAACTTAGGCTTTACAAAAGATTTCCTATTGCATGTGATTCGTTTTTGCACCATTTCGAAGTAGAAAATAGCTTTTCAGAACAGTCAGAATTTAAAGTCATAGATTTCCATAGTACTGTTCATAACATAGTCTGAATACCGTTCCTAAGTAATACACGTCCCAGTACATACTCTCAAGTATGTACTTAGGTGAGGTTCTTTATGTTTATGATTAAACCAAGTCAAAAGGAACTCGGTTTGCACTCTGATAGACCAAGAGTTCTTGCTTTTCTAAAACTTTCTCTTTTGTGAAGACTCTAAGTGAGGAATGGGAAGCCGGTCGGCCTTACCTGCGCCCTCCCAGCACTCACCTGTGCAGGCTGCCAGCGCTCACCTGCTGGAGACAGAGCAGTTACAAACTTCTTCACACCCCGCCCTCTTTATCTGCCTGCTGCCTGGACACACTGGAGACTCTCACAGGCTGTAGCATAATATGCAACCTAGTAATTGCCTCACTACCTAGTTTTGTGGCAAACCTGACATTTTTCCTCCTCCAGCAAGTCTTCTCCAACTGAATTGCATTATCTGAAGGTTATTTCTAGGTTAATGAGAGTGGGTGGGCCTTGGGGGAGTCGCATGTGTTTATTTTCATAGAACTTCACTGAAAACTTTGTATGGTGGTTGGACTTGACAGGCTTACAGTCTAACTTAGTTATCACATGAGAATTTGAAGTTTCACCGTTGTTAAACAGACCAACTGTTTAATAATACCCCGAAGCCATAGGTAGTCCTCAGTCTAGGCTTTGGGGTATTAGACTGCCCCGCAGAGCCGCGGACCCCGGCCGCGCCCTTCGGCCAAAGTTTTCTTTGTCAGGCTGTTATTTAGAACAGAGAACATTTTGCAACGTAAGCAATGTTACATGACAACTTAATACATTACACAGGAAGTTTAGGTTCTTAGGACCACCCACAGTGATTGCTTAACATTGATTCTGTGTGTAAGTGTCTCAAGTTCGCTTTGGTGTTTAACAGAGGTCATTTTTATGCCTGGTTCTGTGCACATCTGCCTGCTGGGGTGGGTGGGCTTGGCAGCAGAGTGGGGTTCCAGTGCCTTGTAGACGCACTTGTCCCCCAGTAAGAGGTAGAAGAGTTGACGGCTCTGGTCAGCGCTGCTCTTTGCTGGGTGTGATGGTTCACGGGTAGGTGGAAGGCCTTGGTCCCTGTGGGCGGTGGCCTATAGGAAAATAAATGGAAGCTGATGGAGGGAGAAGAATGGATACTTGAAGTTGTTCCTCTTAGGATCTCTACATGTAGGTCATGTGTCTACATGCTATTAATGGGATTCAGCAACAGTGTGTAAAATCTTAAAATTCTAGTTTTAACAGATATTGACTTGACTTAATCATAGATAATCTCCACATGGATATTTTAAATTCAATAAACTCGCAACAGATAAACTACCCCCACCCAAGCACACTTTCTTGGGCTTCATTTATTGACTTTAATTTGGATTTTATTGATGTGGCGTTTGAATGTCTGTATGCCAAGCATGAAAGGCATGGTAAGAGTCCCTTGCTCTTATGAGGTCTAGTGGGGGGATATAGAGATGAAAGAAAATAACTAATATTATGGAAATGGTGTTACAGAAAGGGGTGTACTGAGTGTGGCAGAAGCACAGGGAAGGAACAGTCAACTCGGGTCCAGGGTCCAGGGTCCAGGTATAGCTGTTTTGAGAAGAGGTTCGTTCACAGGGACATTTTTCTTAGGGTTGGTAACAGTTTTAAGCATACAAGATGAAAGCTTTTTAAAAGCCTGTTCTCTCAGAGCTCATGTTGCACTGATCTAAGTACTTTATATACTTTACTAGAGACCCAGTGCACAACATTCGTGCACTTCAGTGGGGTCCCCCTCAGCCTGGCCTGCACCCTTTAGCAGTCCGGGAGCCCTCGGGGGATGTCCCACTGACATCCTAAGCCACAGTTGGACATCCTTAGCGCTGCCCCAGAGGCGGGAGAGGCTCCCACCACCACCTCTGTGCTTGCCAGCTGTCAGCCCGTCTTGTGGCTGAGCAGCGCTCCCCCTGTGGGAGCGCACTGACCACTAGGGGGCGGGGCAGCTCCTGCATTAAGCGTCTGCCCCCTGGTGGTCAGTGCGTGTCGTAGGGACCTGTCATTCCGCTGTTTGGTTGATTTGCATATTACCCTTTTATTATGTAGGATTACTTAGTGTGATAGTACTATGTAAAAAAGATTATGGATCCATAATGGGCTACACAGGGGAAGGTGTTTTCCTGGTAGGAAGTAAGGCAGTTGCCATATTTATGCAAACGTTACAAAGTCATTATTAACAACCTCAGATATGGAATTGAGCTCTTTGGAGTTTTGCTTAACTTTGAATGGTATTGATTATTGGTTTAGAACTGGGAAGTGTACCAATTCATGTTGATAGTGTATGTAGATATTATTCTAATAAGACATTTGTCATCGCTTTTGAGATCCTGAAATTTTGGTAATTGCTACTAAGGGGTGAAGCTGCCTGTGAAGAAGGCCCCTTTTACTTGAGTAGTTTCAGACTTTTATGTAGCTTATAGATGTAAATATCAAAATGGTTGAACTCCATGTTATCCAGTAGAATGCACCGTCCTGGAGAAAACTTGAAAAATAAGAATCTCTAAATCCATTAGGCACCTTTCTCGTTATCTCTCTCATTCTTTTACTCTTCTCATACGTACATAATTACTAAGATGGATCTGACTCACAGTGAATTCAGTTTTGAATGCAAACCTTCCTGGAGCTTGTATGCCTGGCTTTCCACTTTTCAGTGTTGAGGTTGAATGCCTGTCGAACATGTCCCTCAGTACCGGGTAGATTTCCTGTGTTTTGGTGCTTCAGACTGTTAAAGCAGTCAATTTCTTACTTAGGCCTTCCAGCTCTCCTGCTCAGCTAGGGACGTTTGTGCTGTTTTTCAAATTGTTCCTTCACTCTGAGATTCTCTTAGAAATAAAAAAAACAGGAATAGAACCAGCTGTGTAAGTTCTATTTCAGAACCAAATTGCCTACAATTGCGATGGGCATCTGACTTTCATTATCAGTGAAAATAGCTTGTGTAATATAATTTGAGGTTATGTCTCTTAATTTTGTAATTCCCCATTATCTTATTTAGGCAGGTCATTTAAAAATCTTATCTGCTTAACCACCTCTGAACTGATTCAAAGGGGCTGTAATCCATGCACATTTTTAAAAAAATTAGACAATTATCATAAAATTTTAGTACATAGGTTTAAGAGGGTTTCATGTCACATAGTATAGTTCACATTTTTAAAACTTTATTAAATTGAGTGTGAAGGCTGATGAAAAGTTAAAAGTTTTGAATGAATGTGGGTTAAAATTTATTTTATGTAACTTCTTTGTAGCCTTTTCCTAATGTCTTTATGGGAAAATAACAGTACAAGTTTGTTTAATCATGCATCAGTGCTTTTTAAAATAGGATTTTTCCAGAACTTCAGTTTATGTTTCTCTCCTTTACATAATAAATGCATACTAATTTTTAAAAGGTTTTATTAAAAAAAAAAGATTTTTTTATTGATTTTTAGAGAGAGAGGAAGGGAGGGGGAAGAGAGAAACGTCAGTGTGAGCGCGGAACAGTGATTGGCTGCCTCCTGCAAGCCCCTACTGGGGGTCAAGCCCAAAACCTGGCATGTGCCCTGACTGGAATCGAACTGCAACGTTTTGGTGCAGGGGACAATGCCCAACCAACTAAGCTACACCGGCCAGGGCAGTACATACTCATTTGATAGTCTCAAATGCTTTTATTTAACTATTATAGTTGTATAACTAAATAATAGTCAATTACTATTTAACTATATTAACTGCCATTTACTAAGTGGTTACCGTGTGTACCAGATATTCTGCTGAGCATCTGTTTTATCACATTTATTCCTTAGAGATACCTTATGATGTTAAGTTTTATTATTAGCTCTTTTTTTTTTTTTTTTTTTTGCCCAAGTTCATAGAATTCTATGTAGTAGAATTTGAATTTTAGGGACTTGGCCATCTCAGTTGTATGCTTGCAAATTAAAAGAACTATAAAAAGAGGTGTATGTGTTTAGATGGTTTGTCATTTAATGGCTACAGGTGAATGGGTTGCATAACCTTAATACTGTTCTAATGCATCTCAACTTAGTGTATGGTTACTTCGGCTGATTTTGATTAATGATGGGGAAGATGGGGGATATATTCTCTTAAGACCTCAAAGCACATTGCTTTGCCCTATCTTCTCACATTCCTGCTTGTTCGTGTGAACCATAGCAGGCATGTACTTTGGCAGTCCCTGCTGTATCTATACCTGATTTGTGCATGGCCTGTGAGTGGAAACAGCTAAGCAGGGAATGTCCCTGTGGAGTTCTAGAGGAAATTCTTCTGTAAGCTCTGTGTGCTGGTGTTGCTTACAGTTGTTGCAAGGAGATAAGGTTTAGAGACAGTTTGGGTAAACTATGCTTCCATTTATAGTGTTTGTGAATTTCCTGGGGCTTTAGGTGGGCTGGATCTAGTGGGAGTGGGAGATATGTTCCAGTACAGATCCCCAGCACTCACTTCCCACAGAAATGATGTTTTGTGCATGTCTTGGGAACCAGCTCTTCAAAGCTATTTGACCCTTGTGACAGCTGTATGCAAGTACTGAAATGTTAACAGTTACTGCTCTCAGAGGACTCTGGTCATCGTTCTTTGAACTAACATATAAGTTGTAGATTGCTTTTACTGAGCTATTTGATTATTTTGAAGTTGGATATACTAAGGACATGCTTTCTTAAAGCCATGCATAATTATGAGAGACTCATTTAGTTCTTCACATAAAAATTTTAAACTTTTGATACCAACTAGGTGACTTCTAGAAATGTAAAGTATTGCTGGCTTTGTAAAAGTCAACTACCAAACTCTTGTGAATATTTAAAATACATTAGGGATGCATATAGTACTTTATCTGTTTTTGATGTCTGATTAAATGTTGAGAAGTCAGACACTTTAGATAATAATATGTAACTCTTTTAGAAAGCGAAAAGTCTTTCCCCAATTTAGGATTTATCTTTGCATTTTTGACTAGCCGGCGAGCTTTCCTCACCTTGGTTTTTTAGCAGTGTCTGCTGAGTGGGTGGCAGAGTTTTGGGGTCAGCTGGTTAAGCAGCTGTGTATTAGGGTGGTGTAGTTCTCTCTCTGCCTGTTCGGACCACCATCAGGATGTTTCCAGCTTAGTAATTTAGATGGCCATGCCCGCGCTGGGGAAGGATTGCAGGAAGGGTGTCTGAGTCAGGAAGGAGCTTAGCTTATTGGAGAGCTAAGTGAACGCCAGTTTGGCTAGTGAGCGAGGAGGAAAGAATACCATCAGAGGAGGTTGGAGAGAGACAGAAACCAGATCTGCTGGGACTGTCTGGCGATGGTAAGGCATTCGATTTACACCCAGTGTGGTGGGAATTCAGCCGAGTGACAGGGTTGATTTACACTTTTAAAAGATGTTGCTAACTGTACTCCTTTTCTCTCATATCCATCCCAAATAAGTTTTTACCCTATTGTCCACCAAGATTGCTTTTATTAAGACCACTAGGGATCTCCATGTTGCAGGATACTCTGCGGGAGTACAGAAATAAATACAATAGTATGAAAGAAGGACACTGTGAGTAATAACAAAAGCCTGGAACTACTCAAATACCCATTAGTAAATGGTAGCATTTCTATATAATGGAGCATTGTGAACTGTCAAGACGAATGGGGAAGACATCCTAATACTGCTGAGGCATAATCTATAGGTTATATTAACTGGGAGGACAAGGCACAAAATATTAGGTAGAGTGTACTAGCTTTTATGTGAGAAAAGAAGGGAGATACTTGTTTATATTCAGATTTGTTGTGTTGTTAAAAAGAAATGGTGGAAGGGAAATTCAAAATTGATGTTTCTATCTCTCTCCCCTTTTCCCTTCTTCTCTCTGGAGTAAATAAAAGCATACTTTAAAAAATTAGGTAGGGAGGGAATGGACAGAAACTAAACCTCTCTGAACATATCTCATTCTATAATTTTTACTCTGTTGCCATATAATTTAAAAAATTCAGTAGAAAAAAGTAATCCTTAAATGGCAACACAATAATTTAGTAATTTAATGTCAGGATGGTGACATAACTGCAAGAGGAATTATCCCAAGTAATTTTGAAACAATATTTCAACTATGTATTTCTAGTGGGATATATGTAAGGACAGAAGAAAGCCACAAGACATGGTAAACTTCATCCAATATTGTTATTCTTATTTTGAGATTGTATATAGTAGGATAAAGCATATAAGTAAGTGTGCTAATGGCAAATTTTGTTTGTTAATGTCATTTGGAAATTTGGTAATTATCTGCATTATATCTATAATATGCTACCATTTGCTGAGCTCTTAATGTCTTAAGTGGAATTTGGAAAAACAAAATTCTTAAAATATGTCAATTTTCTGCTTGTTTGTGCCTAAAGGGAGTTTACTTTGCCCATATTTAGGCATGTTATTCCCAACCTTTATTTTGTATAATTAGAAAAGTTGAATTATTTTCTTTGTCCCATTTCTTAGTTGACGAAGGATCAGAGATTGGTGTATTCGGGCAGACTGCTTCCCGATCATCTGCAGCTGAAAGACATTCTCAGAAAAGTAAGCAGATTTCTACCACTACTCGATACCAGACACAGTCAGAGTGTGAGTGGAGAGTTCTGAAATTTTATCAATATCCAACCAGTTCAGTTTTCAGATACTTAAAATCAACCCTTTGGGTAGCATAACATGTAAACATGAGCTAGAAAGTAAAAAACATAATGATAGATTCCAGTTAGTTTAGGTAGCAGTTTTGTATATCTATCTGATAGCTAACTAGGATTACATATTGTGTTCAGGTGATTGGCATTTTGTGTAGGAAAACTCTATCAACGTACCAGTAGTGCAGGAGTGGAGAGTTCAAGGAGTGGTGCAGGATTTTCACTGAGGACAGTCTGCTCTCCTCTATCCCTTTTGACCAAACTGTATGACATTTAATACAAGTTGCTCGGGTTAGGAGTTTAATTTCAGGCAAGAAATAGAAGGAAGCCCAATTGGTCCATCAGTTAGCAACCTTGAAGGCTGGTGCTTAGAGCTAAAATATATTTCAGTGTAGCTTTTTGATCATCAGCTGGAATACTGTGTGTTTTTTTTTAATGGAAACTTTTAACTCATGATTATTTGTGGAATTTATACTTTTATAACTTTTCTGCATTTGTGATGCTACGTTTTGGTTGTGAATATATAGCTTTGATATTTTGTTTAGATCTTTGACTTAACTCTTAATGTTGTCTGGACCGATTTAGGAAATCTGCATCCTCTCCTTTTGTTTATGATCATCAGGGAAACTAAGACATCTTATACCAGCATATTCCTCCTGTTCAGATAGTTGACGTTTTCACTCTGCCAGTGTGACTTCTTGCTCTCATTTTCATTTTAACTATGTAGTTTCAGTTTGCCAAGGTGGTTTAATAACTTCTTTCTCTCTCAAAAATAGTGGAATTTGCAGCAGGTTTTTTCTCTCTCTTTTTAATAGACTATTTTTAAAGACAGTTTTAGGTTCATAGCAAAATTGAGTAGAAAGTAGAGAGATTTCACTTTTATTCCCCCCCCCCCCACATGCACAGGCTCCCCCACAACAACATTCCATATTAGAGTGGAAAATTGGTTACAGTTGATGAAGCTACATTATTGACACATCATTATCACCCAAAGCCTGTGGTTTACATTAGGGTTCCCTCTTGGTGTACATACTGTGGGTTTGGACAAATGTATAATGACATGTATTCACCATTATAGTCTCGTATAGAATAGTGTCACTGCCTTAAAAATCCTCAGTGCCACACCTGCTCATTTTCTCCATGTTTTTATGCTTAAAAACATTGCTGCTGTATACTCTTCAAAGTAGATATTTATTTTATTATTTTAACCCAAAGATAGCTAGTTTGCACTGGACTGTTTTTTTAAAGATTCTTGCTGCCAGAAATGGTTTCTGACCAGAAGACTTAAAATAAAAATGTTTCAGTCGAAGGACTGTTGGCCTCTTATATAAAACATTTTGAATAATATGTTTACATTATGAATAGATCTTTGAACTGTTTTTGTTAAAGTCAGCGAACCACTTCTTTTTTTCAATTAAATGCTGCCATTAGCTTTACCTTCTTAGTTATAAAATGTTTTACAGGAACATTCCCAAAAGGTGAACAAATGCTATAGTTAATTTGATTAGTATGGCCTTTGAAACTAGGTTTCTAAGGGTAAATATCTTATACTTGATGCTTTTTAATGCTCTGTGTTCTGAAGCTATGGGGGGATATTGTAAATCAGGAGTGCCTTCTGTCTACCTTACTGGGCACATCTCATGTCAGACTATCTCTGCAAGTTCCTCCTCTTAGCATTCTACTAGCAACCCCCATTAACTTCTTTCTTTAAACTCCTAGAGCTGGTAGTTTGTGCTCCTCCATCTGTGCAGAAGACTGTTTCGTATGGTTCTCTAATTGTGCTCTAATGTGCGCGTCTGATCTTTTAACAGTGTCGTGAGCCTCTTTAGGGGAGGGGCTGACTTTTACCTTTCTGGGCTTCACCTCAGAATTCAGCACAATTCTAGATTTATGGTTGGCAGTGGGTAAATTCTTAGTTTCCAGTAGCTTTGTTTCTCTTTCTCACAACTGGGCATCTTCCTTGTCTTCCTGCCCCTTTCCTTTATCATACTTCATTTTTTCTTTTCTTTTTATGAGTTGCTGAGCTATCCTGTGTGCTTCTCTGCCCTTCTTTATTCTCTTTCCTTTCTCCATCTTATTTGCTTGCTTCATGCCTAAGTATAAATCTACTCATGTAATTGCTAAGCTAAAATGTCATTCCTAATCATTTCTAGAATTTTTTTCTTCATAGTTACAGGTTTATGGAAACACATGAAATATTTATAGAATATAGTTCAAACATATGCTTTTATTTAAATATAAGTATTATAGATAAAACCAGTTTTTGACTTAAAAAAACAACAACACATCTATACATCACCTTGCTAAAATTAAGGCAAATGAGATTATGGTGAAATTATTTGAGTTTCTTTATTATAGTTGCAAAGTCTAAGTAATGAAAATATTTTTGCTTCTCAAAGTTTGCAGGGCTAAGCTTCAGCGACTATTGCTGTTCCGATATTAAGGTGCTAGATGTTTTTATATTGAAATAATAGGTTGCATGACACAGCTTTACAGCACTGTTTGCTTCAAGACTCCTTTGTATACGAAGTAATCATTTTTTCGTATAGCCATTACTGAGTGTTTAGACCATTTTCCAGGCATGGAGAAAAAGTAGAATTCAGAAGGGCTCCAAATTCTAAAATGGTAAATTTACTTTCAAATGACAACAATTTCTTACTAATAAATGGCTATGCCAGAAAGGAACTTAAGTTTTGAGTCAAGTATTTCAGCTTAGCTGCTATTGACATTTTGACTGTACATTTCCAGTACTACCCTTTCAATGTAACCTTCTTTACTTTTAGCAAGATGAGTATCATATGGTCCATCTAGTGTGTACTTCCCGGACTCCTCCCAGCTCTCCAAAGTCCAGCAGCAGTAGAGAAGGTCGCAAAGCGTTGGCATCCAGCAGCAGTTCTGTGAGTTGTTTGGGAGGAGTAAATGATGATTTCTCATTATATTTCTTTTGCCTCTAAAAATTAAGTGAAAAAAACAAAAAACAGATCAGTTGGAGCTTGTGGGTTGTGAGATGGTGTTTTGAGTTAGGGATTTAAACTTTGTTTTTAGAAGTCCATTATACAGTGTTTTCCCTTGAAGGCTGTTCCCCTGTATGCAGGTCAGTAATAGTCAGGAGTTTAATTACTAAAATACCAAGAAAACAATTATGATATGTATAAACTCCAACGCCAGTAAAATTTCAGAAATAAGGTGTTGAATATAGTATATTTTATTCTAGGTGGATTACATTATTTCAGTTTAAATATGCTAAATCCTCTTGAAGTAGATTGCTTGGTCAAGAATTTTATTTCATTTTTAAAGATTTTTATTAATTTTTAGAGAAAGAGGAAGTGGGGAGAGAGAGGGAGAGAAAGAGAAAGAAACATCTATGTGAGAACAAAATATCGACCAATTATCTCCTGCACACCCCCTACTGGGGGTCAAGCTGCAACTCGGGCATGTGCCCTGATGGGGAATTGAACCAGCAATTTTTCGGTGCACAGGATGATGCCCAACCTACTGAGCCACACTGTCTGGGGCAAGAATTTTACTTTTTAAAAAATGACTAGATTTGGGCATACATTCCAACTGCAGGAGGAAAAATTACTTAACCTACTCAGCTCTTTCAGACTTGGGTATTCATTTCTCCTACCTTAGTTTTTCATTTACCTAAAATTGTTCAGGAAATTTTTCTTAAACTTTTCAACTTAGGCATTCTCTACAAGTATGAAAGACTGTCCCAAATCCTTTTACCTTAAATGATTTTTGGTTTCCCATAAAAGCTTTGAAGGTGAGAGGAAAGGATTGGATGAGTGGAAGCTTGCTTTAAACTTCCTGGGCAGAGGCTATTATACTGCTAAGTATACTTCCCTTCTTGTCAAGAATTGAGCCGAAACTCTAAGGAAGGGGATGAGTGGCAGATGATAACTAGATGAAAGATCTTCCAGTAGATGCTAGTTAAATGCTTCTTTAAGATCTAGATCCTCTAGTTGCTGTATTTAATTATATGTCCTCAATGGTAAGTATTCTGTAGTATTAGTTGTGGGAATTTAGCTTATATTAAACTGAAATATGTTTTGTCAATAAACCCAAGGGCCTGGATCTGTTTCCCACCTTGGACCAGAAGGGACAGTCATTGGCAGTGGCACGAAGTTCTGTATGTAGTCTTTGGGCATAGTTGTGTTGGTTTAGTTTTTGTTTAGTTTAGTTTTAGAATCCTTTGACTTGTCCAGTGGTTGCTCAGCCATGATTTCCTGTCATTAGTATATATATGTTCAGTTTTCAAGGTGTAGTATGAAAATCTGAAATGTGTCAAAGGAAAATTAAGTTGAATTCCCCTTAATGTTTTATGACTAAGAAATTCCAGTAGGATTTGAAAATGTTTTAAAAATATAATCATGAGAGAGTTATCTAACAAGGTCAGAAATCCTGAGTTCTAAAGAAATAAGGCTGGGCTGCCAAATGGCTAGGCCTTTCTCCTATTAACTTTTAATTAACCACCTTGTTATGGTTCATTTAATGAGAAATCTTGTCAAAAAAGAAGCCTTTCTGAGTAATGTCCCTAAGAATCAGAGTCCCTAGTGAGTTATTTGGTATCTATTTTGTGTGGAATAACATCTTAAAGAAAGCTTGTGTTAGTTTTGCAAAAGACCAGTGTTCTTGGGACCTTTTACATGGCAGGACGTAGGATGGGTACATACGCTAAAAAGACATCCTGTCAATAGGAAGGCAGTGCAGCTAAAATACAGCGTTAGCAAACCTGGAAGGATGTTCAGATTATATTGTACCCAGGTATTTTAAATGGAAGAGCTATAATTTATATAAAATATAATTGCATTTCACATTTACATAGGACATGATAAATATTTTCAAATACTAACAAATGGGCGGTCTTCAAGGCGTTATATTGTTTAAGGCTGTTGAGTCTGGTGAGTTACTGACATCATTGAAACATGAGAATTTTAAAATCCTGATTGATACCTTGTTCATATTTTTAAAAACAATATTTTTGCTATCTTTAAACTAACAGAAGTTTAGAACTGAAAGGAATCTTGAAAATTTAGTTCAATCTTATTTTTTCTAGGGAAGCTGAGACTCAGAGGTTAAGTGAAATTTTAAGGTCATGTTCCTTGCTAATGTCAGAGATAATACCAGATTCTAGATCTTCTGATTTCTAGCATGTTCCTCATAATTTTAAAACAGTGTGTTACTAAGAGCACGTTATACAGTACCTGGCGCATAGGAAATGGCACAGTAATTGGTACCATTATTGAGCACTTTCTATGTTTTAGGCATCATGAAAAGAACTTTTCATGTAATTTAATCCTCACAATTTTGTATGCTCTTTTTGTATACAATTACTTCACTACTTAGCCTTTTCTAGTTGATAATTGAACTGTTGTGTAATTGAGAAACTTTGATTTTTCTGAACTCTTTAGTCTCATCAGAATTAAAGTATCTTCTTACTATGCTGGGCACAAGATTCAAATGAGTAAATTACTAAAATTCACTGTTTGCAGAGGGATTTCATCAATACGTTTTTAGCACTGTGTCTATAACCTCATGATTGCAATGAATTAAATCTTCCTGAAAAAATAGTTACATTTCTGTTTGTAGAGTTCAGATCAGTCAGGATCAAGAACTCCATCATCCAGTCAAGAAACCTTGCCGTTAGCTGTCAGTTCTTCCTCAGAAGGACTGAGGCAGCGTTCCCTTCCCCAAGCACAGACCGACCCCGCACAGAGTCATCAGTTCCCATACGTAATGCAAGGGTGAGTGAATTCCTGGTAGCCGTGGGCTCTTCGAAATCCGTTTCTCCTGACTTTCATGGTAGCCCTCTGCAGTAATCAGAGTGCATTTGAAGTTTATTCCATTACCTGAGTGCATATTTTGAGAATTAGAAGGTGAAGTAGAGCAGTGCTGTTGAAAGCTGCTCATGTATCAGAATCATCTAGGGCTTTATTTTTTAGTTTTTAATGTTTGTGCTAATCACCTGGAGATCTTGTGTAGGTGCAGGTTCTGATTCAGTAGGATGACTTGTAGTTCAGAAATGAAAATTTAGAGAAATGCTTTCAATTCCAGAGCATTCAAAGACATTTCTTTCTCTCCTTATGGCAGAAATGTAGACAACCAGCTTCCCGGACAAGCTGTTCCAGCCGGATTCCCAGTGTACCCCGCGTTCAGCCCATTGCAGGTGCTGTGGTGGCAGCAGATGTATGCTCATCAGTATTATATGCAATAGTAAGTGAATTTCAGTATCTTAACTCACTGTGTTATTTACTTTATTTTCTGCTTTTATCCTAAGTAACTTGATTTGGGATTACATTTACTGATGTATTACATTAACTTTTAAAAATTATTATAAGGAGTTCACAAACATCTCAGCAGATACTTATTAAAAAAATCAAATGGCTATATCCCTGATGAACATAGATGCTAAAATCCTCAAGAAAATATTAGCAAACCGAATCCAGCAACACATTAAAAATAATGATCAAGTTGGATTTATTCTACTAGAACTGATAAATGAATTCAGTAAAATAGTAGGATACAAAATAAATATCCAGAAATCAGTTGCATTTTAATTTATTTATTTTATTTTTATTACTATTATTTTTAAAATATATTTTATTGATTTTAGAGAGGGAGAGAGAGATAGAAACATCAATGATGAGAGAGAATCATTGATTGGCTGCCTCCTTCATGCCCCCTACTGGGGATCGAGCCCGCAACCCAGGCATATGCCCTTGGCCAGAATCGAACCTAGGACCCTTTAGTCCGCAGGCTGACACTCTATCCATTGAGCCAAACCAGCTAGGGCTCAGTTGCATTTTTATACACCAATAGTGAACTATCAGTAAGGGAAACTAAGGAAACTGTCCCATTCACAATTGTTTCAAAAAGGAATAAAATACCTAGGAATAAATTTAACCAAGGATGTAAAAGACCTGAACTCAGAAAATTACAAGACACTGAAGAAAGAAATTGAAGAAAATACAAGCAAGTGGAAGCCTCTATATATATAAAAGCCCAGTGACCAAACGGCAGAACAAACGGTTGACCAGATGCTATGACATGCACTGACCACTGGGGGCAGACGCTCAACACAGGATCTGTCCTCTGGTGGTCAGTGTGCTCCCACAGTGGGAGTGCCACTCGGCTGATCGGGATGAGCAGCGCCCCCACAGCAGGCCAATCCCTGCAGGCCATGCCCTCCACCAGTGCACGAATCCATGCACTGGGCCTCTAGTATACCATGTTCATGGATAGGAAGAATTAACATCATTTAATTGTCCATGCTACCCAACGCAATCTAAAGATTCAATGCAGTTTCTATCAAGATACCAATAGCGTATTTCATAGAACTAGAAGAAATGTTCCAAAAATCTACATGGAACCACAAAAGACCCCAAATAGTCTAAGCAGTCTGGAGAAAGAACAAAATTGGAGGTATCAAATTATACTAGAGGATCATAGTAACCAAAACAGCATGGTACTGGCATAAAAACAGATATACAGATCAATGGAATAGAATAGAGAAATAAACCCATACCTTTATAGTCAAGTAATATTTGACAAAGGAGGCAAAAACACAGTGGGATAAAGATAGTCTATTCAATAAATTGTGTTGGGAAAATTGGACAGATACGTGCAAAAAATGAAACTAGATCATCCTATACCACACACAAGAATAAATTAAAAAATGATTAAAAACTTAAATGTTAGTCTCAAAACCATAAAAACCCTAGAATAAAACAGGCAGTAAAATCTCAGACATTTCTCATAATAATATTTTTTTTTTTGATGTATCTTCTTGGGCAAGGGAAACAAAATAAAAAATAAACAAATGGGATTACATCACAATAAAAAGTTTTTGCACAGCAAAGGAAACCATCAAAAATTGAAAAGATAGCCCACAGAATGGGAGAACGTATTTGCTGGTACATTTGATAAAGTGTTAATACCCAAAATTTATAAAGAACTTATAAAACTCAACACCAAAAAACCCAAACAAATTAAAAAATGGGCAAAGGACCTGAATAGACACTTCTTCAAAGAGGACATATAAATGGCCAGGAGACATATGACAAGATGCTCAACTTCTGAATCAATATGAGGTGTAGTAAGTGTTTTGGAACCAAAAAAACCCGTATAGATGCAAGATCTTGGAATACAGGCTTACATAGGCTTTTGTAGCCTAGGAAACTTCTATTTTATTTTATTTTATTTTGCTATCTTGATTTTTAAACTTTTGATTGTAGAAGAATTTCAGCATATAGAAAGATAGAATATAAAATGAACACTGTGTTCATCACCCAATTTCAGCATTTATCAATTCATGACCATCTTCTACAACTTTCCCCCTAGGCTGGATAATTTAAATTCTATATATATTCTTTTACTAGGAGCATATTATAGAAATTTTTTTCTGATTTTCCAGCAATTAAATTATAAGCAAACTTTAGAACCACAATTCTTTACAAGTTAATAAAGGACCTCTATCAGTGGTCCCCAGATAGAGTTCCCAAAAGTCAGGGTTGGGGTTGAAGGGTTAATATCTTAAAATGCTAATACAAATCATTTATCACTGACAGTGGACACAGGGTCATGACTAATGTACATTTTTTAGACAAATCCTTCAAAACCTGGGTCTGAGGGGGAGGTGGTGGGGTACTATGTAGAGTGACAAAAGGGGCCATTAGTGAAGAGATTGGAAAGAGATTTGGTTGTTACCTTATAAAGTATTTAGTGCAAAGGAGAAAAGAGTGATTCACGTGGCTGTTCTTATCTCCCCTCCATCCCCCCAAACCAGGCTGAGAGCCTCCTTCCCTGAGCTACTCCTGCCACAATCTTGGTCCCACTTACCACTGAAATTTGTGCTTACCTAAAAAATGGGGGGCAGCCGAAACCGGTTTGGCTCAGTGGATAGAGCGTCGGCCTGTGGACTGAAGGGTCGCAGGTTCGATTCCGGGCAAGGGCATGTAACTTGGTTGCGGGCACATCCCCAGTGGGAGGTGTGCAGGAGGCAGCTGGTCGATGTTTCTCTCTCATCGATGTTTCTAGCTCTCTATCTCTCTCCCTTCCTCTCTGTAAAAAATCAATAAAATATATTAAAAAAAAATGGGGGGCAGGGGTAGTGATAGTCCATATCAGGTTTATGAAAAACACATATGGCTTGTCCAGGACGCTTTGAAAAAATACATAGTGTGATCAGGTTCTTCCCTTTTTAATGTTTATTTTGGTGACTCTTCCAGTCAAGCTGCAGTTTCAGCTCAGGCCACATCAGATGCCACCCCTGCCCAGCCTGCGCCTTCACAGCCTCTAAATTTGGCACGTCTTCCTGGAGAAGAACCTCCACCAGCTCCCAACTTAGTGGCCCGAGAAAATCGACCCATGAATGAGAATGTTCAGATGAATGCCCAGGGAGGCCCGGTGCTAAACGAAGAAGACTTCAATCGAGACTGGCTAGACTGGATGTATACGTTCTCACGAGCCGCCATCCTCCTCAGCATTGTGTACTTCTATTCCTCTTTCAGTCGCTTTGTCATGGTCATGGGAGCCATGCTACTGGTTTATTTGTGAGTGATGTTCATTACCTTTCTGTGGTTGCTTTTAATGACTTTTTCAAACTGGTTAGCACAGAATCTGGCATATGGTCGTCTGTCGTGAATGTCAGATGAGGAAATAAGAATGTTGGGTTTCGTAGGTCTGGCATCAGAAGCAGACCAGGTTATGTTGAGTGAGAACATTTATCAGAATTGTCTAGAAGCAAATTTTTCCTTTATTGTCAATTATAAAAAATATTAATTCAGCTATTAACAATATTTAGAACTGGTGGAAGTATATGATTCATTCTTGTACAAGTATGTTCTTTTTAATTATAGTTACTAATAGTAAGTCCTTTAGGTACAGGTCAGATTTTTTTCTTCATAAGTAGACTAACTTTGCCTTGCCACAAGAGGCAAGCAAATTATCTAGTTGAATTTCATTTTAAAAAATAACAAAAAGGTTTTATGACTCCGGACATGCCTTAATATCTAGCATAGAGGCAATTAAGCCCATGATAGACTTTTTGCCTTAAATTGGTTTCTGTTTTGCTGTCATTGCTTTGAGAGGGGTAGTTCTCAGCCTAAAGTAGGCAATATGGTCCTTTCATGTAATATAGTTCTAATCGTTTTTCTCTTGTAGGACACTAATGCTTCATAGTTTTATAAATAAAAATAGTTGTGACTTATTTTCTTTTTCTTTATTTTACCAAACAGACACCAAGCTGGATGGTTTCCTTTTAGGCAAGAAGGAGGTCAGCAGCAGGCTCCCAACAATAATGCTGAAGTTAATCATGGGCAGAATGCAGACAACCTAGAACTTGAAGAAATGGTATGCTAATGAGGTTTTGTATGTTTTCAGTGTGGATGTGTCCTCAGTGTTGTATGAGGCAACATGATAAAACAGTCTTGGGTGTTCCATAAATATTCGAGGAATAGCACATGAAGAAAAGTTAACATATAAGCTGTGTGGTTTCATCTGGAAGAACTTAGTCAAATTAGAATTAAGTGGGAAGAACTAATATTTTTCTTCCTTAAAATAGCCTAGAAAGAAAATTATGCACATGGCGAGAATTTATTGTATTAAATTGGCAGTTATCCCTTTGAACTCAAACACCAAGGAATTTATCAATTTTGGATTTAACAGATTTCTAATGACCAGCTGTGTACCATTTTCTTACTCTCATGTTCCTTCCTTCTCTAGGGAAGTACTTAACTCCCCTTTTTGGCACCCGTGCGTGCTAGCTGCTTACTCACTTAGGAGTACATTTCTTGTTTTGTTTGAAAGGAGCGTCTCATGGATGATGGGCTTGAAGATGAGCATGGAGAAGAGGCGGGTGAAGACGGCAGTGCACTCCACAGGCCTGGACTCATGGCGTCCGCTTGGGCTTTCATCACCAGCTTCTTCACTTCACTCATACCAGAGGGGCCTCCCCAGGTCGCCAATTAGATCTGAAAACTCTGCCAGCTGCAAAGGAAGGTCTGGCTTTAGGAACGTGACTTAAATAACAGTGCAATTTCAAAAAAATTTATTACTTCCTTTTCATCATCATGTACAGAGGTGTTTTTTTCTTTAAGCTTCTCATGCATATGAATAGTTTAAGCACAAATGAACTACTAAATGTGTGATTAAAAAAAGAAATCCTAACAAAACATAGCGCAACAACATTGATCTTCCAGGTTTTATTAATTTCAATTATGTGTATTAAATCAAGACAGGCCTATATGTGCATCTTATTTCTTTAAAGAGCTGCTTCACATACAAGTGTTAAAATAGCCCAGCCCCAGTGTAATTTGAATATCTATTTTCTGTGAGTTACCCTAAAAGTTTTAAACAGAATGACCTCATAGTTTCTAAAAAGATTATTATTTACCTAAAATGTGCTAGTAGCATCTTGCCCAGCCATAAAGCAATAAACTTCTCAATGATCTTAATTTTGACATTTGAATAAATAATGGAAACTTTTCTATTTTAAGGGTAAGTGTCCCATCAATTGGAATTAGTACCTTAGGAAAAAAAAAGGCAGCTCTTCAATGGAGTTAATAGTGATAAAAAATGTTTGATATAAGCAGTACTTTTATAAAATAAGATATGCTGGAAATCATTCCCTGTAATTTTTTAAAATAAAAGGTCAACTATGTTAAACTGTCTTAGGGGATATTTGTTTAAACTCTTCAGTAATGTACACAGTAGGTGCAAAACTTTATATAAACGTAAGTAGTTGTTGGGAAGGGTTGCTGAAGTCTTCAAGGTCATTTTTGCCTGTTCCATTCCAGGTGGATATCTAGTTCTCAGATAGCTCTGAAAAAAACAAAACAAAACCCTGTGTGAGCCCATTCAGTATTTCAGATGAAAGGAGTAAGTTTCTTACGGGAAGCTAATTAAAATTGAACAAATGAGGATAGGACTTCCCATGGGCAAACTTCATCTCACAGGAAATATATTACACAGTTAATGGTAGAACAAAATGGAAGGTTAAGAAACATCCATGAATTATTCTCTAGGTTGTTTACTCATAATGATAACGGTGACATTTCAAGGGATAACTGGTTTACTTTTTTGAAAAGTAAAATTAGGTTTCTGTTCATATATGTCAATCAAGACATCACAATTGAATATGAGCAGCTGAACCATAAAAATATAAATAGGAAATATAGACGATACCTATATAATATTGGGGTGAGAAAATAACTTTATCACTAAAAAAAAGGTTGCTATGTATATAATGTTTTGACGGACATAATTAAAAGCCAAACAATTAGGAAAAGAAGATTAAAGAAAAGGTAATAGATAATTCATTAAGTTAAAAAATAGGTAATTCAGTAAGAAAAAAACTATTTTTAAAAAGGATAGTACCCCAGTAAGAAATGGACAAGCATACTTTCTTAGGCAGTTTAGGCTGCTGTAACAATTTATCATAGACTGGGCAACTTAAACATTTATTTCTCACTAGAGGCCTGGTGCACAAAATTGTGCACTCACAGGAGGGTCCCTCAGCCTGGCCTGTGCCCTCTCGCAGGCCACCGGGAGCAGGCCTAAGCCTTCAGTCCGACATCCTTAGTGCTGCCGTGGAGGCGGGAGAGGCTCCCATCACCACCAGCCATAAGCCTGGCTTCTGGCTGAGTGACACTCTCCACTGTGGGAGCACACTGACCACCAGGGGGCAGCTCCTGGATTGAGCGTCTGCCCCCTGGTGGTCAGTGCGCATCATAGAGAGCGGCTGTTCCACCGTTTGGTCAATTTGCATATTAGCCTTTTATTAAATAGGATAAGATAGTATTTCTTGAGGCTGGGAAGTCCAAGATCAAGGTGCGGACAGATTCTGTGTCTGGTGAAGGTCCTCTTCCTGGCTTGCACAGAGCTGAAGCAAGGTCTTTCCTATCTCTCATGAGGGCACTTTCCTATTCATGAGGGCTCCACCTCCTGCCTCACCTCCCAAAGACCTCACCTCCTAATACTGTCACATTGGGGGTTAGATGTGGGGGTGTCACAGACACTATGTACATAACAGATATCAGCATGGGCAATAACCCCAGGAAAAAAGTAATGTTTACAAGTTAAAACATTGTAAGGTAATAGTGCTGGGGAAGCTGTAGGGCCTATAGCTTCACCAGCACGTAATCCAGGACGTATCAGATTTTAAAATTGCAGAGTCATTCAGTGTCATCCCATTGTTCCTAGAGTCACGATCAGGCAGGGCCCTTGCCCCCTTTCTGTCTGTGCTCCCCTTAACCTACCTGTTGCAGCGAGGCTGGTCTCCCGGCCCCAGCATTCCTTCCAGCCCCAGGACTTCACACTGTAGCTGTGCTTTTAGCTTGGAACTCCTTCACACTTAGTCATTTATCAGCTCTCAGCTCATGGCCAGTCCCTTAGGGAAACCCCCCACCCCCAAGCACTACTGTTTGCATTTAACATTGTTGCAGTTTAAGTTTATTTCCTTATTTGTCTCTTCCTGCAAGATAGCAGGGTTGTATGGTTGGGGAGTGTGTTTATGCTCCTTATTGTATTTTCAGACTTAGAGGTAGTTCAAGACTGAAAGAGTGGTTAAATGTACTCTTTGGATCAGCAAACATTTGAAGGGGTAGAGATTTAGCTTTTAGGATATTCATTGTATTGCTTATAATAGGAAAACATTCAAACTGACTGTTAGTCAGCATGATGAGCTCTGCACAAACATTTGTACCCATTTGGGTCCATGGTGAGGGATGGCTTGTTTCCAGGCTGGTGCAATCCTCACATCCAGAGGGAGGGTCTGGGTTTTAACCTGGGAGCTAAATGCACTGTCAGAGCTTGAAGAAATACTGTGTAGGTCAGATCTAAAGCTGAGCAGTGGGCAGAGTAAGAAGGCAAAGATAATCACCAGATTAGTCTTCTGGGAGTCGGAGTGGGAGAATTGGAGCCACAGAATTCATAGTGGGGGGCAACCCTTGGGGCACACCGTCTGGAGGAGCAGGTATCTGGTTGGAGCTGCAGGCTGGGCCTAAGGAGAGGAAAATACTAGTTGTGGATGGTGCGGCTGGTTCTAAGGACACGAATGCATTACTCAATTTAAAAAATATATATATTTTTATTGATTTCAGAAAGGAAGGGAGAGGGAAAGAGAAATAGAAACATCAATGATGTGAGAGAATCATTGATCAGCTGCCTCCTGCATGGTCCATACTGGGGATTGAGTCCGCAACCTGGGCATGCGCCCTTGACCGGCATTGAACCCAGGACTATTCAGTCCACAGGTTGATGCTCTATCCACTGAGCCAAACCGGCTAGGGTGCATTACCCGATTTTAAATTGTTTTCCGTACATTGCTAATTCCCTCATATTAGTCTCACTTGTGGTAATTTTTTTTTTTTTTTGGTCAAAAATAATTAAAGGAGGCCCAGCCGGCGTGGCTCAGTGATTGAGCATCAACCTATGAACCAGGAGGTCACGGTTCGATTCTCGGTCAGGGCACATGCCCGGGTTGCAGGCTCGATCCCCAGTAAGGATCGTGCAGGAGGTAGCCAATCGATTCCCTCTCATCATCGATGTTCCTCTCTCTCTTCCTCTCTGAAATCAATAAAAATATATTTTAAAAAATAATAATTAAAGGAGTTGTGTCCATACTGGGGCCAGATGGTGCCTGGAGAGTGGGGGCGGCCTGGAGGGCGGGGGCGGCCTGGATATGGTTTCCAGGTGGCAGAAGGTGCATCACAGAAGCCCAGACACGGGCTCTGGGCCAAATAGCAATTGGCAACACCGGGAGGGGTTCATGGGCTAGAAACACTTCCCAGGACTGCTCGCCTTACAATCAGGAAAGATGAGGCTTTCTACATTGCACAGTACTGGTGAGAGCCAGATCGGAGGTGGGTGAAAGGAAAGGGGGATCCCGAGGGCTGGAGAAGGGAGACAGCTCACCACAGTGCAGTGGCCTGGTTCAGTGCCATCACTCGTCATTGTCCTGACTAATTCCTCTGGCTCTGACTCCCACATCCCGTGGAAATCTGGCTTTGAATTTCAAATTAGAGGGAAAGGCCTCATTTGGAGCCTCATTTTTGCTGTCGCTTCACTGAAGATGAAGGTGTGCTGATTGAAGACCAGTTTCTGTAAGTCTGGGCAAGTCAGACCCCGGGGCCTGTTGTATCTGGAACTTGTTGCTGCTTTTGCAGAACTGCACTGGGCCCTGGAATGTGCTGTTCTCAAGTCCGAGAGTCCTGGGGAGCCCAGGTGGCTGGTGTGTGGGATCTGGTGTGGGGTTGCAGTGTGGGGTCTGCGGTGTGCGGTCTGTAGATGTGGGTCTGCGGGTGTGGGGTCTGCGGATGTGGGGTCTGCGGGTGTGGGGTCTGGATGTGGGGTCTTCGGGTGTGGGGTCTGCGGGTGTGGGGTGTGTGGGTGTGGGGTCTGCGGGTGTGGGGGCTGCGGGTGTGGGGGCTGCGGGGGTGGGGTCTGTGGTGTGGGACCTAGGATAGGAAGGCCGAGGGCAGAGCGATGCAGGAAGGTTCAACCCCGAGAGAAGGAAAAAGGCTTCTCTTGGGAGTGTAGTATCTAGAGCAGACTCGAAGGTAAGAAGCATTGCTAGGTACAGGGACCGTCTCATGCTGACAGGAGGGTTACTTTACTAGGAACAGGCGTTGCCGAGGTTGCTGAGCTGTTTATCATGTTCAGAGGCCGCCCAGGCTTGGCTCGTCTTGGTGATGGCCCAGGAAGCTAGCAGTCCCGAGGCACCAGACTCAAGTAGGTATCTGAAGATAGAGTGTGTGCCTGGGCAGGTTTAGGGGAAGCACAAGCATTCAAAAGGAAAGACATGTAAGCTTGGCCCTGGCCGGGTTGCTTAGTTAGAGCATTGTCCCCATAAGCCAAGGTTTCAGGTTCGATCCTGGTCAGGAATCAACCAATGAATGCATACGTAAGTAGATCAACAAATCAAAGTTTCTCTAATCAATATAATTAAAAAGTTAAAAACGTCACATTTTATAAATTAAATAAATGCTGGCTCTGAGCCTACCCCCCTTATTTGGGTCAGTATCATTAAGAACTGTCAATAATAGGCCGCACTTAGCAAATGCTTATTGTGCTAAGTGCTTGCAGGCATTCATTTACTCAATCCTCCCGACAGCCCTAGGGTGAGGGCTCTTTACCATGTTTCTGTCTTAGAGATGGGAGAACAGCAGCCGCCAGGGCTGGTACTCAGCACGAGGCAGGCTGTCCACGGCCAGAGCCCCTGCTCCACACACCGCAGCTTGGCTCCGGTTTTACAGCCTCCCCCACTTCTGGGTAAATGTTAGCAAACCACTCATGACTCTAGGTTGTCATGGAAACACCTGTGCACAGGGTTAGAGAAGAACATGGAGGGATGTGTTTGTTGGGGGCCGCTGTGAACCCAGGACTCAAATAGGAACATGATAACAACCTTCAATGTAACTATTTATTTATTTATTTATTTTTGATTAATTTGAGAGAGGAAGAAAGAGAGAGATTTGTTGTTCTTCATGCATTCATTGGCTGATTCTTGTATGTACCCTGACCAGGGGTCCCCCCTGCAATCTTGGCGTATCTGGACGATGCTCTAACCAACTGACCTATCCGGGCAGGGCCTGTGTTTTAATATGAGGAAAATAGGGTTTGGGGATGAACAAGTCACGTTGGGTAGGAGTGGAGGAGGAGTCTCT